AGATTGATTTAATCAATTATTTGAGGTTTCTGAGGCGCGTCCACCCCGTCACTTAACTTGCTAAAGCAAGAGCAACTCCAGCTAGCTAAGGCTAGCTTTCGTGACCTGGGTCGGTTGACTGCTTGTTGTTTGTAAAGCTTCTCTGCTGTAAGTGCTTCCTGGATGTTGATGTGGAGGGGCTTCTTCCATGTCCACACCTTCTCGATCTTCCAGCTGGATGAGAGGCGAACGTCGTTCACGAGGGCTCTCTAGCATCAGTTGCAAGGTCCGTGCTTGCGGACGTCATCAGCTTTCTATGAAGAGCGTCTGAGCATCTGAGAAAGCTGCCGCAATTGCCTCTGCTAGTGCATCAGTGTAGGCTGCCGATGGCTTTGCCCATTAATTTTCCCTCGATGGGATGCGTCGATGAATCCTCCGTATACTTCCTCAAAAGTGTGTAGAAAAACGAACTCTTTGAAAGTGGAGACCCGTACCCACAGGATGCTGTCCATGTTTCAGAGGCTAGACCATTGATCACGAGGTACAGCCATTCGAGCAGCTTCCTCATCTTTGATTTGCGTGGCTGCTCCAAAAGGCCAGGAATACCAAGGACTGCTGCCAAATTCATCAATGCCAGAGCCCTCAAAGCCTGGGAAGTGCCAAGCAGTGCCTTGGGCTCGGTAGGCTCAAAGGTTTTGGGACAAGTCCAGTGGGCGGTGGGCCGGAGAGAACGTGGTGTCATGAATGAGTCGAGTTGGCCCTTCTCAATGAGGTGGAAGACCCACCTGAGAACGTTCAGGGAGGACAGGTCATAGTGAGGCGATCCAGAATATAGGGCCAGGGCCTTTGCAACTTTTCCTGCTCCTCCACAAATATCAATGAAGTGGAAACGGAGGTCCTCATCAAGGAAGCCAGCCTCATCTTCTTTCTCCTCATAGAGCCAGTCGATCTTCCTCAGGATTGCCTGATGCCTGGACAGCATCCTTGCGTAGCTGGATTTTCTCCTCCCTGTGCGGAACAAGAACCGAGCAGTATTTCTGGGCAGTCTTGTGGAGACCATGGCACCCTTCGCATCGGAGGAGTCTGTGGAGAAGCAGTCGTCTTGAATCTCTGTAGCAAGATCCGTGGCCATGTAGGGGCATAGGACTGCAAGGAGGACCAGCTCGTCTGCTGCTTTACTTGTCAGCGGACCGGTGACGGTTGCTCCTGGTCAGTGCTCGACATTGGGACCTCTTAGACGTTCTGGAGTAGTGACATCATTGGCCGTCGAGAAGGGCATTGACCCAACCTCCAACCAAGCATGCGATGAGCGCATCTGAAGTGAAGCTCGGGCCCGGATGGTTGGGGAAGAATCGACTTCCGCTCCCGTTTGCTCTGATCGAATGTCCTTCTGAGGTGAGCCCAGGCGTTCTGCCTCATCATAGGCCCTGCAAGCTTGCAATACTCTGGTTTGGCCAAGAAGATCTCCATCACGATCTCTCAGGTATCTTGGTCTTTTGTCCCTTGAGGTCAGCTAGGTCCAGCAGGGCCACAAACAGTTTGAGAAGGCTCTAGACTGGGCGACTCGAATCTGCAGATCGACAGGCGCTGCTTGTAGGGGTTGATCTCGAGGTCGAAGAGGCACTGTGGTGTAGGAAGACCTGACGAGACTCCTGCCAGACGGCCCTCCCTGTAGTTCCGGGACCCCCGATCTCCGATCATACGATCGACCTCATGGTTCTTGTAGGCGTTGAAGAATCTCATGGCAGGGTCTTTTCGTAGTTTAGCGAGGTCATGAACACTCTTGTACTTCTCCTTGTCCGAGTCGGGTGCCGAAGGAGCCTCCAAAGAAGTAGTCCAGATCAGTGAAGCCGGTTCAACGAAAGCCATCCATAGGAGGTCGGAGAGGTACGGCTCAATGTCCCAGGACGCCTTGCCAAACAGCTCCAGTCTGGAAGGATCAAGTGTACGATATGGACGCAGCTCCTTGGCGCGCTCAACAGGACTCTGATCTTGCCCTGCAAGCCGTCCGGGTCTCCAAGAAAAGTTTTGGTATAAGCATCTCCTCCAGATCCCTCCCATGTAGCGAACTCGGAGAGGTCGGTGAGGAAGGAGATGAGCGAGGTTGTTCTTCGGCCACTCGCCAGTGCATCAAAGGGTTCCGGAGAGCTACCAAAGGCTTTGAAAAGGTTCCGCAAATTGTCCAAAGCCTTCCGCTGAGCACCATTCGGAGTTCTAGCCATGGAGTTGTAACTTCCCATCGGAGTGCCAGTAGTTCAGGGCCATGACGGAAACGTGAAAGGCCTGATCAAAAGCTCTCTTTCTTCTTTCTTTCTGTCCACCTCCTCCAGACTTGAAGATGCGCAGCTTGGGAAGTGGAAGCGGAAACAAAGCCGTAGAAGTTGCGGGCGAGCGCAAACTTGTAGCATGCAAGGTGGATCTAAGGAAAGCCGCAAAGGGGGTCCTCGTCCTCAAAACTTGTGAGTATATAAGGAAGATGCCCAGGTCCAAAAGGAATAGGTCTGCGGGCAGTCCCACAAACCTTGTCTGGTAGCGCCAGCTGTAGTCTCACCGAAGAGCTCGGGCTGGCCAGGGGCATCAAAATCATCACTGCGGCAGGAACTGGCCGAGTCCCCTGGAACAGGCAGCGTCATAGTGGATGCCCTCTGCGATGTCCTTGTGCAGCGTGGAGGCTACAAGGTGCACCCGAGTTCGCCTTGTTCGACGCCCTCAACTAAGAGGTGGTTGAATCCCCTTGCTTTGGCCTCTTGGGATATCGTTGTTTCTTCTTCGGCTCGGAGTCCTCCGACTTCTCCTGATTCTTCTTTGTGGGAATGGCTTCTTGTCTCCTCGTATTGATCATGTCCACCTCCTTCACGAAGCTCAGGGCCCACTCTGGAGGACAGAGAGGAGAGAATGCTCTCAGTCGAGGATTGGCCGATGGCGGTCGAGATGTGAACATGCCCAGAGGAGGATCTTCTTGTAGTAGTGCGAGAATCCAACCGACTTCCCACTTCCCGCCATCCTGGGCTACCTGCTCGATGGTGACCAAGGCCAGTGCTAGCATCTCTTGAGCTCCTTTCTGATCTCCATTGAGCATCATGTCGCCCATCTGGCAAACCAGCCACATCATCAGGCCAAAGTCTCTCTGTCCAGAAAAGCCACCATTCCTCTCGACATACCTCGAGAAAAGGGCTCTGCCACCAAAACCATTGAGGGTAGTAGGAGGAGTCTCTGATGGCTTCAGTCGCCTGAACGCATTCTTTGCCGCCTTGAGGAAGAAGTCGCCTAGAAATCCATCAAAAGTTTCTCTCTCTTGGCTGAGCCTTTCAGCGAGAGGGAGTAGGAGGAACTTGCACCACCGAGGTCCCCATAGCCGTCTTGACTGACGAGGTGTGCAACCAACGTAGACAGTGCCTGAGACTGCCTTCGAGGACTGCCCCTGCCCAACAGCCAGCGTTCCAAGCACGTAGGGCTCTTGCACGGACGGAGGATGGAGTACCTGAAAGGCGATTGCAAAGGTCAATGCAAGCCTCCGGAAGATCAGGAATGCTCCTGGCCACGTCGTCGTAGGCAGAGGAATTGGATCGCGCGGATCCTTGTGCCCAAGATGTAGTTCTCCTCTCAGGAGTAGCTGGCAGCGGAGGGACCACGTCCCAAGTAGAAGCCTCAGAAGGCTCGGACAGCACGGCCGGCGGCCCAGTGTAGGATCCAGCAGAGATGCCCTCGGCACGGTTGGCAGCAGCCTCAAGGTGCAGCCAAATCGCAAAGGAGATGCAAGCAAAGGCGCACAAGCAAAATCCAGAGGTAAAAATGGAGGCCAAATAGGCAGGAGAGGAGCCGCACACCCTAAACCAAACCAATTGGTCGCACTCCCCCACGAAACCAGGTTCAAAAGGTCTACGAATCCCGGCTGCATACAAGGCTTTGAGCCCACCACATGGCATTCAGAGTTAGAAGGCATATATATAGTCCTCTGCAAGAATTGGCAACCAGTTCATCTATGCGTCTGGAACCCCTGGACCCATGATATCTTCATCCTCAACGTCGCACCTCCTTGTGCACTTTCTGGCACTCAAGGCTGCAGAAGGGGCCCAAACAACGAGGGCATTTGTACCTGGTGCAAAGGGGCTTGAGAATACATCGGAACATTGAACAAGAAACAAAAAAAACAGAATGTTGGACTGCAACAGAATTTCAAAGTTCCGCAAGGTAAAAAGGACCACCTACTCCATCTCGCGCCACCTCGACATGCTTCTCCCCTGCCTTGCCCACTGCAGGCAGTGGCATCGGAGGCGTCTGGGCCACGAAGAGGGGCCAA